ATATGTGGAAGGAAACTGTGACCGAGGACAAGCTGATGGCAAAATTATTGCGCTAGCTGACGTGGTTGCAGAGCTACCGGGATTTAAAAGTAGTTGCGCAAAACGAAGCATGCCCGACCCGACCGGCTTTAAAGGGTTAAGGCTAAAGTTTTATGTTCTCTGATCTCGTACCCAGTCCTCTGTATCGGCTCAGCTGCTGGTAGATCTGCTTCATCCTCTCGATGTTGAGCCGGCTCGCCTCTGCGTGGTGCACCATGGGCTTCGGGTAATGGACTCCAATGATGCACTTGGCCGCCGCCTGCACAGACTCTGGAGCGTTCCACGGGTCGTAGATGAACTTAGCAGGAAAACCTCGGAGGACAGGTAAGTATCGTCTGGAAGCAGATGGAGACATTAGACATGCTGGCTTCTGTCAGCACGAGGAGGGGTACAACGTGCTTTGGGGTGGTGGTGATGCAGGGAGGTAAAGGGTTAAGAGGAAAAAATGTCATGTCTGAATGTGTCGGAGCTACCGTCTCAGATATGAGCTGAAATGTGTGTTTCCAAACTTTAGCTGCTGCTGTGTGAAGAGCTGGCTGAGGTTTAGGCCTGCAGCCGGAGCACGCTGGTCTGCAGCCCTTCGTGCTTACACGTTTTAAGGAAGTCAGCTGCTGCAGAACGAAGCTACAAACAAGCACAACACTGCACAGAAAGGCTACAGGACATGAAGCACTGCGGGCAGTAACCGTCGCAGGGCGCTCAGAGAGACGTTAATGCTGCCAAACGTGGTGGAAAACCAGGGGCTGTGGTCCCAACAACATTTACTGTGAGCTGGTGTGACGGCAGCCACGCCGCACACACGCAGAGCGACGCTGCGAGAGCCAATCAGACTGCAGCAAGAGGTCAACATCTCACAACGTGCAGAAGATTCCTTGGACTGTCGTGGAAAGAGAGCCACCTACCTACTGCGCTTGGTCCGACCTTACCGAGTCCGAGGAGGGGACACAGGCGGGGCGGAGGAGAGGGGCGAGTGGAACTGTGGGAAGCGGCACAGTGGGGGCAGGCAGCGGTGCGGCCGTGTGGACGCACGCGTGCTCGACGGACGGAGAGCGCCGTGTCGTTAGAGACATCACTGCTGATTGGTGCCGCTAGGAAGACGTCTACTGCAACACGCCGTTAGAAAGCACAAAGTTTTGAGCCCACCCGCCCAACCCCTCCCACCCCACCTGGACCAGAGCCGGCGTACGGTGGAAAAGATCTGCCATCGAGCTTCCTGTCCGTCGCTCAAAGCTCTTCTTCGGTTTCCGTCCTCACAGCTGAACAGAAGAGGAAGCTGAAGTTCTCCTGGGAGCTCGCCGTTGATGACAGAAGTCCTCCACCGTACCTCCCAGCTCTGGCCCCACCCTCCCCCAACCTTATCCCACCTCCATCCCCTTCAAACAGCAGTGGACTGAGAAAAGAGCTCAAATCTGCCCCCCCTGCCCCTCAGACTGTGGTGGTTGTCTTTTAAGTGGTCAGTGGGCCCAAAGCCCCTGCTGACTGTCCTCTCCCATCGCCACAGCGCCACACTCTGGGCCGGCACACTAGGGAGCCCCCTCATTTCACCAAAAGGGACCACAACCCAAGCCAGGAAGATCCGTGACCTGCCGGCAGCACGCGAGCCGATGGAGGGCGGCGGGTGGCGTGGGCAATAAGGGCTTCCTCTTCCTGTCATGTTTTAATCTTTGGTTTATAATCTTTGATGATGTAATCTTCAATCTGCTGTCCACATCTAGTGTCACGGCTTTGGATTTGCACCTCACACCTACACTGGCACATAAAGGGTGGGGCTGACTCTCCCTGCTGCATGTGGTTGGATGTTGGATGGATGTGGGTGGATGATGGTCGGGGAAAAGCCTAAGCCTAGCCATGCGAGGGCTGCTTATCCTCTGCAGTCAGATCTGCACATGTGCACTGGTGATCCACGCCATGTGTTGAGTGAGCCAGCCGCCGCTCCGGCGCCGCCTGAGCCGGCAGGGCTGCATTCACAAAAGCAGAGCGCCACTGAACATTTCACAAAGGGCCTGACGAGGGGCTTTGCCCAGCGCCTGGACAGTGGACCGGCTCGCGTGGCACGGCGCAGGTAACGAGTACCGGCGCCAATCGTGCTTCACTGCGATGGCAGAGCTACAGCTGGTCCAACGCCTCTCCTCACTACCCTCCGTGGAATGCTTCATAACACTCTACCTAACGAATGCAGGCGAGGCGTTTGCATTTCCCTACCAAGCGGTCAGAATCCCTTTTGACGAAATGAGACGCCACCGAGTCATAAACCTGCTCAGAGGGTGCCGCTGGGGCGCGAGTGCCTCAGGGCTGCACAGGTACATGAAACAAACCGCCATCAACAATGTCCATCCACGGCAGCCCCGGCTGGAAGCGCAGGCTGCACCTGGGTGGAGGGGCGAGAGAACGGCCAATCACCTTAAAAGCAATCAGCTACAATCTACGAAGGGGAGAGGGACCGCTGAACTTTCCCCCCAACCCCCAAAAATCACAAACAGAGTGGAAGGAGGGGGGACGGGGGAGAGAGCAGCAGTGATGAACACCTGGCTGCAAGTACACGTCTACTGATGCATACATGTTCACACGCACACACACACACTGTGAGGTCGTTAGCATCCTGGATCCAGACTAAGTGCTGAGGTGTGAACAGACCAACAGCTGATGACACACAGACAAAGACGAGGAGGGAAGGATGCTGGTTTGTTGACTTACCCAAAGATCTGGACGTCCCCTTTATCCCCCCATCTCTCTCTCCCCCCTTCAGCTGACCTGTCCCTGAGCTGACTGTGTGTGAGACACTGACGTCATCAGTAACTGGCAGGTGTCACTTTTAAAACAGGTAAATCTGTCTGTGCTTCCCCTGTGACTCACTGCTCTCCTCTGATGACCCTCAACGCTCTAATATCTGTGCAGTCCTGAGAGACAGAGGGAGGAAGGGCGCCATCCAGGTGCGGGCTCAGCTGTGGCACCAAGGGGCGATAGAAGGAAAGGTACCCACCTGATGAAGTCCCCGTTGGGGTCGGTGCGCCGGCCGAAGCCCACGGGGCAGTAGCAGTGGAAGAACTGCTGGAAGAATGAACTGCAGGACAGCCACATCCAGCTGCCCGCATTCACGCTCCAGTCTGCATCCAGCAGCAGCTCCTCAAACACCTGCAGCAGGTAACCACAGCCCATTAAAACAGGAAGAGTGAGTAACATCGCTTTGTTTTAACTCGGTTGTTTTATTCCTTAAGCATGAACGGAAGCTACTGGCTAACGTGCCAAAATAAGAAGGCCGACACGAAGAAGGAAAAACACCTACGACATAAACCCTGACGCACAACAATAAAGGCAGTAATGGCGTCTGCTGTTCCCGTCTGATTCATCGACATGTTTCAGTATCTGCACGTCACCGCACCATGACTGCTTTCCATGTGCTCACCTTCATTCCTTCCTCCCAGCTGATCCACAGGTCTCCTCTGGTGAGGAAGCAGGCCACGGCATGTCGGGCCAAGTGATGAATCCATCCCTCCTGCCTCAGCTGAGTCATGATGGCGTCGATCCAGGGAAAGCCTGTCTTCGCCTCAGCCCACTTGGCGAGCGCCTCAGGATTTTTGTCCCAGGGAATGCGGACGCAGATGGGGTTTCCCTCCATCTTGTCGAAGCGTGGGTTGTTGGTGGCGGCGGTGTAGAAGAACTCGCGCCACAGTAGCTGTCCGTAGAGCGAGAGTGGAGGAGAGCTGTTCTTCTTCACCTGCATCAGTAGAAACATCACAAAAGCATCGGGTTAAAAGCGTTCGGGGGGTTAACTCTTTCAACCATCGTTTTTATAAAAGCGTTTCACTTCAACGACGTTCTGTTGATCACAGCAGTCGGTCACCGTTCGACCGTCTCAGTGGGTTCAGCAGCACCGACCTGAGCCCAGCGGTGATGTCACCGCCCTTTCGGTGGGGCCTTCATGCCAATATTTCATCTCTGATGGTTCAGATCTGACCAATCAGATCACTGCATCTGGCAAGTGCACTCATAGCTCACACCTGCACTGATATGCAATGATCTGGAAATAATAAAATGATATTATTCCTCTTTGGGAATCATCTTGTTGGGCCAAAAATCCCATTTCATGTCAAACTGCGTTATATTTGGCGTGTTTCATAGATTCACAGATAACGTGTTTGTGTGACAGCCTGCCTTCTTTAGTTTTAGCTTCTGATTCAAATGTGTTTGTAGTGTTAGGTTGTGTCTGCACACATCAGGCACAACCTAACACTACAACCCCGGTTCAGAATGATTCAGAGGTCAGAGTTTAACATTATAAAGACCTCTGGACAACTGCTGCTCAAGAGCACGTCAAAGATTACAGGAACGTTTGAAGAAATGAGGGGTGGCTCAAGACTTTTGCACAGCACAGTAAATATGGAGTTTGTACAGAAACAGAGTAGCAGATGGGCTCTGCTTCATACACGTCCATAAATGAGATCATCGCTGCGGTGCAGTCGCACCGATGCTTCGGGGCAGCACAAATATGCAACAGCAACATGCAAATCTGACGCCTACCTTGCGGTACAGGTCGGTGAGCTTGAAGTAGAAGAGGCGGCAGGAGAGGCAGCCGAAGCGCAGGTACGGGCTGAGGCCTGTTGGGCTGGCCAGCAGCGAGTTGGCGTTCATCCTCGGACGCTCGAAATTCGCCACCCACGCCTGGAGAGAGAGAGGGAGAGAGAAAGGAGGGGAAGTAAGACGGCCACGTTAAAGTATTCACCAAATCACAGACGGCTGGTTTGGGAAGCAGCAGGCAGTGTTTCACATGTCTGTGAACCTGAACAAAAGACATTTTCGGACAGACAAGAACATGACAAGAAAAGAAAGCGAACAGTGTTTGTTAGAGCAGGGCGATATGGCCAAAAATATTCATCACGATATATATTTGAAAATTTGCGATAACACGCAAGAGACAAAATACAACTCCACAACTTTACAAGCGCAAAAAACCCATTCATTTATTTTCACTTAAACAAACGTCAAATACGTATTTTTTGGACCATAAACTGCACGGGAATACAAGGCACATTAAGCTAAACAAAGCAGTCAGATAAATCAAACTTTATTCAACTCATTCTTCTTGCTTCTTCCACTTCTGTACCATTGATTTATTAATGCTGAATTCTCTCACAGCTGCTCTATTCCCATGTTGTTGCAGTATATTAATGACTAACCTCGTATTGTGGATGGATTATCTCAGTTGTTCTCCTGACTGAAGTTTGGTCCGTTTACAGCATCCTGCCATGCGATTACATTTGTCTCTAACCATCAGGAACCTTCACGTTAACTTTTATCGAGTCGAAAAGTGTTAGCGTTCATCCTGCAGCTTCACTGTGTTTGTTATGCTAGCATAGCTGTGTCGTTAGTGATCATGTAGCACATCATTATATACCAGCTAGCCCAACTTCAGTAACCTTACAAACATCACTGCTGTTTAGTTTCCTGTCTTAATTTATGTTGGAAGTGATAGCAGAGCTGTACGTTTGAATTTGTTCAGAAATCTCTCAGTCAGAACATGCTATATCATGTTTAGGTAACTAGCAAAACTAGCGAGCTAACTTCTGCTAACTTCCTGCTAGCTTCTAACTCCGTTAAGTGTAATAAATCCTGTTTTCATGGATGCCTGGATGTTAAACTTAACTGTTACACCTGGTAAAGCAGCAATGCTGATCATTTTATTAAAGATGAAAGAATTTAGACAGTTTTTAACTCTCAGTGATGCTGCAGTGTTCATTTGACTTTAGGACCTGAAGCAGACAGAGTTTAGGACCCAGATTGCTCCCAGATTTAGGAGCACCTTAGTCCGACAAATACGGCAATAACGACGGCCGCTTGCATGTTCTATAAAAAAGTGCTTTGTTGTGTATCTGACGGACAAACACCAAACATGTTCCACATCACTGAAGTGGCAGCATTTTTACAAACTAATTCTGGTTCATCCGTTTCACTCAACAATCCGCTTTCTCCCTTCTCATTCTCCGTTGCCGCCATGCTTTTTCGGCCATGTGCGTATGAAAACAAAGGCCCTGCGCATTTTACCCACATTCTATCGCCATATTTCATTTTCTTATCGTTGCCTATCATTGTACTGGTATTACCGTGAACGGTATGATATGGCCCAGCCCTACTAATGTGTTTACTGAAACAGATGAGCGCGCGTTTCTTCTGTTGTGATGCTGAAGATCTTTAATCTGCCCCATCAAAGATAACAGCCAATGAAAACAGGAGCTGCGTCACTGGGAAGTCCTCAGCGCTTCTGCTGAACGTCATCCCCTCAGAGCTTTCTATGACCACAGCCCACCCTCAGCTGCAGTACCCACCTTTCTCTCCAGGTGGCGCTCTATCCTGGTAAGAGCCTCGGTCTCTCCTCCTGGCCACACGGCTGACGGCAGCCCCTCCGTGTCAAAGCCTGAAAGAGACGGTTCACCTTCATCATTGTCCTTAGCAGGTCAACCTTCCA